TTCCCACACCATTCCCACATGCCCCATCACTGTCCCTGCACCTTCCCCGCATGCCCCATCACCATTCCTATACACTTTACAAGTGTCACCATGTTATCCCAACATATCCCCCTATTGTCCCTACATATTGTTTATATTTGTTCCCACACTTTTTAACAATTTTTAATATGCCAGACATTATTTTCTAGATCGGGCGGCATGGTGGCGCAGTGGGTAGCGCTGTCGCCTCACAGCAAGAATGGCCTGGGTTCGGTTCCCGCCTGGGCGACTAGGGTCATTTCTGTGTGGAGTTTGCATGTTCTCCCCGTGTCTGCGTGGGTTTCCTCCGGGTACTCCGGTTTCCTCCCACAGTCCAAAAACATGCAGTCAGGCTGATTGGACACGTTAAATTGTCCCTAGGTGTGAGTGTGTGACTGTGTATGTCTGTCTGTCTGTCTGCCCTGCGATGGACTGGCGACCTGTCCGGGGTGTATCCTGCCTTCCGCCCAATGACAGCTGGGATAGGCTCCAGCACCCCACCGCGACCCAGAAGGATAAGTGGTTTAGATGATGTATGTATGTATGTATTTTCTAGATTAAGAGACACCTATTGGAACTATTCTTAATGGAATTTTTGTCTCTGTAGCAATATTGCTGAAAGATGAAACTATGTAGGTCTAATGTCAACAGATAATTTCCACCAGTTTAAAACTGTACTGTACGAGTGTGATTTAGTTAATACCCATTTCACATGAACAAAGATTTCACTCAGAAACATAGGTTTTGTTCATTCCGCTATCTGCGCTTGACTGATGGTAAGTTTTATTTCACAAATAAATACAAACCTCTCATATTTAAAGTTTTTTTTTGGCACTTAGGTAAAAAAGGCATACAGTCAGTTAGGCTTTTAGTTGTCTCTCAGGCAGATCTGAACATATCTGGAGCTTTTAAAATATGTACACAAGGGAAGTGTTGGTTATGGAACTAAAATTAAAGGTAATGGCAGATTGCTGAGCAGTTGATCACAACAGTTTATAAGCAGTAATTGCAGAACTAAGAAAATTATATTTGTATGAGAATGAGATAAGTCTGTCAGAGAAAGAACGGTATGCTAAACACACAGAATGAACTGAACTCAGCTGCTGTAAAAATTGTTCTTTTATAACCATTACTGTGGTGTTAATAGACATTTCATAACTGTTCCAATGGGAATACTGTAAAGCACTGGTTCTCAAACTGTCCCCAGGGACCTCCTGACAATTCACATTTTAGCTACAACCCAATTCACAGTGCATGACAAAATGTGGACCATCTGGTGGTTGCTGAAGACTGATCTGAGAACCACTGCTGTAAAGTTTATCCCCATTCCCATTGTCACTGTGGGAAAAAAAAAAATAGTATGATCCCCATACTTGTGCAGCTCTCTATTCTGCAGTAAAACCACTTAAATTTTGATGTGCATAATGGTACACACAAAATCATGTTTTTTGTGGACCAAGTAAGATAACCATTACATAGTGTCCTAAATATGTTATGATTGGATTTTGCGCTAATGTGTGCAGTAGCTTGCTCCTTTCTCTCGGTTTTGAATGTGCTGCTACTGTTAGCTCAAACCAGGAGGAGTGTAGGGAAATGTCTCCACAAAGCTTTTGTCTTTAAATCAGTCATGGTACTGTGGCAGGTTGCCTGTAGGCTCAAAGCTCACATTTTATGTACCCCTACCATGACAAAAAGCAGCTAACCTACACACATTCAAAACAACAAATAGTTCCACACTGCAGACAATTAAATGGCTTTGTTTAATTCTGAAAACACACCTCACTGAACACAGGTTGTGGACAGTGTCTATTCATAGCACCTTTACACCAATGGAGTAAATAGAGCACAAAAAGTAGAAACAAAGAATGGGAATTGGATCAAGTTGATTTAGATCATACCTCATTCATTAAATACTTTGATTGTCTCAATCCATTGAGTAGGATATGTGATAAAAATTGAGTAAACTATTGAAATACTTTTATTGACCTAGATTTTTTTAGTAAGTGCACATCAGAGATTTAAAAAACACATTTTGATGTGATGGAATGACACATCAGACACCAAATAACCCCAAAAGATGGACCTGGTACTGACACAAATATCTGAGAGATAGATTTGAAGTAATAGTCCAAAGCTGCCATCCCCCCCACAAAAAATAATAATAATTAACAAATTATTACATGAAATTGTTCTAAGGTGTGATGAAATAAGAAATAAGATGGAAAAATTGCTTTTAGTAACAGTTATGCTATGATTTACATAACGTGGTAAGGCCAGTTAAAGGACGGAATCCGTGTAATCACATGACTTGCCTGGAGCTATTTTACCACTCTTTGCTCATTTTGAAAGTTTCTTGTTTCCACTTTTCCCATCTCACTTACAGTAACTGTAACACAGGTGACTGAAGCAAGTGCAGTGAATACTAGCGGCAATGTCAACAGATAAATAATGATCTCATGCAAAAACATTTTTGATGAATACGTAAATCACTAGGGCTGCATGATGATATTGGGATCAAATTGTATCAGCTGATAACAACATAAAAAATCAGCAGTTTAGTTTTTTGATGTTTTTGTTGATTTTTGATGACACAACTTTGTTCACTTTTGTACTCTAGAGGAGCAGAATATTTAGGTAACGCTGGACTACTGTGCTAAAATGTCTGTATTTTATTCATTTGACTGCATTTGTAACCCTATAGAATTTATACATTTTATTCATGTTTCTGTATTGAAATTATTGGCAGATATATACATGAAAAATATTGGATATCGGCAGAATTCCCACATTGGTGCATCGCTATGAAAGATTAATTCATATTTGACACTACAGCCCAAACTGTTTTTAAGCTTGTGGGTTATTAACTCAGAACTGGACTTGGACATGATGGAAGGTGGTAGAGTCTTTAGTGACATGGATATAATGCATTTACTTCATTTGATTTAAATGTGTACACCATTTCGACGTGAATAAAACATATTAAAGCAAAATAATTATTGGCAAAATTAAGTTAACTGAAATATGACAATATTTATCATGATTTTAATAAATTACTTCACAATATATCACAATGTGCTTTTTGTCCAAGCATATCATGGGTATCGCCAGCACATAAAACAACTGACCAACTGCTTGTTTGAGACAGCATAATTTTAGTATAGCACAGTATGTGAAATGTTGAATAAAAAACATTTGATTTAGAGGTTGTAATATTATTATTTTTAAAGTGGCACTATTTGATTTGTTCCAACTTCCCAAAAAATATTGTGTCATATCATGCATCATGAAAATGTATGTGTTGATGTAACATTTTATTCATGTGGCAATCATGCACACTTTTGAATCATGTAAAATCAATGTAAAAGTTTTCAGTTTATACAGTGCCCATGGCAGGCAGAGCATCCGTTCAGATGTGTCATAGTAACACTTAGGCTATCAAAGAGTTTTAATATTCAAATTCCAAACAGTGCACTACACAAATTAGTCTGTCTGTTCACACCTCATTGCAAAGGAAAGACAAACAGAAAGGAACAACAAGCATCTTTCACACGTGTATTTATAATAGAGTAAAAGAGTAGGCAGCAATGGAAATGTTAGTAATCATGGTCTGAAGCACAAACATTCATAGTGATGAGGAACAGGTCACTCTGTGTCTGTGATGGAAGTGGGAAATGTTTGGATTATCTATGTTCAGTCATTTAGATCAGTTGTTACTGATTAGTTTGGAATGAAGTGCACTCTATGCTTTTGGATAGAAAAAAACAAACATGTTTTTCAAGCAGTCTGTATAATTCAAGACATTGTGGTCAACATATTAGAATTAGCTGATCTATGTAGTCAATACTGAAACTGGAAATGAAACAGACAGACCAACAGACAGATGAAACAGCACTGAAACTAAGTTACATGTATACATCTCAGTTCAGCTTTTCCATGCCATTGCAAAATGAAGTCAGAACTCATACAATGCAACACTTAAGCAGCTAGCTTGAGAATATATCTATGTTGAGCTGACTCAGCATGACCTGTCCGCATTCAAGACCTTCTGGTTTGGGTTAAAAGGACTGCTAATCAAGGGAAGCTCGTGTGTTTGTGGCTGATTCATTTTCTTATTAGCACAGATTGTTATCTTCTGTGATGTAATGTTAAACATATACAAGTTTCTATTCTTGGATTTCACTCTGAACCCATAGTGTTCCATTCAGGTTTCAAACAGTTTTGGCCAGGTTTCAGTTTTGATTCTGGAGTTCCACTGCACTGCACGTTTTAGTTTTCCTGCTGTACATTCTCTGTACACGGAGGGGTTTGAGGTGTGTTGGAAAAGGGACAACATTGCAATGCACTAGGAAATTGTTTCTTAGATATTTAAAGGGGAATTCCAACAATTTTTCAAAATTTATCTATAGTTACATGGTTGGTTGATGTGATAGCAACCGGACATCTGAGGAGTTTAATGCCTCTAAAAGCTACATTACAGAAAGTTATTAAATAACATAAGTATAAATACACTGCCATTGTTTTGAGAAGATTTTGATCTAAAATGTAATTTTTTAAAATTCATTCATGGTGGAGAGGTACCAGCAGGCTGCTGTAAGACAAAATAGTCCTCAAAGAATTGTTTGTTTTTTTCTTTTTTTTTTTTCAGAATTACCACTTTTCAAAAACGTGATCAACACTACATATTAAAATCGGAAGACATTTAGGTTCACTGGTGATAGTAAATAAAATGACCATTATTGTATTGTAGACATTGCAACCTCATCACCACCACTGTAAAGAAATCTGTGTAAGTTTCTTACAATGAACCACTTCACATCAACCCACTCGGAATGACTTTGTTTACATCTAAACTACTAAATTATGCAGAAACTTTTAAAAACTGGTAGAATTTAATTTGCAATCTGTTTCGGCATGAAGCAGACAGAGTATCTGAAGGGTATAATGATTTAACAGTCATAAACATGTAATTATTCTTTTCACAGTCGCAAAACACTTCAGTTCCAAAATCTTTGTCAACATATACAGTGACATCTAACTCTGCCACCACAAGAACAGCAGCAACAATGATACAGAGTAAGTTTGTTTATTTATTTATTTATTTAGTTAGTTAGTTAGTTATTCATTTTGTATGGTTAGGTTAATAAAGATGCAAAATATTTTTGTATGACTTTTATTTAAATGTTCGTAAAGGGTCTCCTGCATTTAACTGACTGATGATACCCAGCTATCCAGGACTGACAACCTAAGAACAAACAAACTGACAGTTTCAGTTAGGGGAGCACCAATGATAGCCAATCAAATGTTTTGTACAATAAAACTGCATTTAATTTAAAGCATAATGCAACCACTCTTATCAAAACAGACAATGTAAAGTTTGTTAGGTTTCAGCCGAAACCAGACATAGTTTTAAGAGTTCCCAAGATGGCAAAAAAGTTTTACCTATGCAGTACCCACTGCGTTATCTAATAGGTATTAGATTGTTACCTTGGAGTCAAAGTTCTATTTAAAAGTTCCAGAGATCCTTACAAAAATCCCTGTTTTTTTACAATAACAAGAGCTTGGTTTAGCAAAATATTAGTGCCCTTAAATCTGTTTGCTTAGTTGTTAAAAATTATGTGATTATTAATTATTATTATATACCATATTAAAGAGATTATCAGTGCTTTACTGGTGGGATTTCATTTGCTGTGTTGATGCATACATCAGTGATAGGTTGGAAATTTCCATAGGCACTGGTACCGCACCAGAGGGGGTGCCATAGAGCACTGAAGTATGGAACTCAGGCCGACCCACTAGCTCTGATGTGGGGCGTGATTGTGAGCTGAGCAGTGCTACAACAGATGTTAAAATATGGCCATATTAGGGACCAGACAATTATTATACACCAAGAGTGCACTTGTACAGTATGAGGGCAAAGGGGCAAGGGCTTCTTGTAAAATGTAATTAATACAATTTGAATTTTTTTTTGATAAAAATGTGTTCTTGATCTTGATCTCTTTCTGTACTGCTGTAAATTAAATTTTTATCATAATTGAGTTCGAACTTCTAATTCTTTTCTCTATTTATCTTTCTCAGTTTCCAGTGTTGCCAATGTGACTGTAACGTATCGCAATGAGACTGCATTGACATTGGAATGGAACAAAGTGAACAACAACAGCGATTACAGTTACAGACTGACAGACCACAATGCAATAAACATCAACATCAGTGGATTAGAGGGAGGTTCTGTAGTGACACACACAGTCTCATCTCTTTTTCCTGGAATTAAATACTCCTTCACTCTGTACACTGTATTTGAAGGAGGGGAGAGCAGTGGATACAACTTTACCAGTGTCACCAGTAAGTGTGGGTGTGTTTTATGTGACATTAATGAATTGAAATTAGCAATCTGTGAAGCTTCAACCAAACTTTAAAAATAGTGGTTTTAGGTTTATCAGAGGAAAATATATGTTTTCTTAAAATTTGGAGAGTTTTTCTTTATATTTTATCAAAGGCAAAAAGAACATTTTTTTTATTTCATTTTGTTTGATAAATTTAATCACAGAATGAAAAGTTATTACATTATCATCCCATTCAGTGTTGTACCTTTGTGAATCTCTAAATCAGAATTTTTATTGTAATTGAAATGCCAACTTTATCATTTATTCAGCCCTCTCTCTCTCTCTCTCTCTCTCTCTCTCTCTCTCTCTCTCTCTCTGTCTCTCTTTCAGCTCCATCCAGTGTTGCCAATGTGACTGTAATGTATCGCAATGAGACTGCATTGACATTGGAATGGAACAAAGTGAACAACAACAGCGATTACAGTTACAGACTGACAGACCACAATGCAATAAACATCAACATCAGTGGATTAGAGGGAGGTTCTGTAGTGACACACATAGTCTCACCTCTTTTTCCTGGAACTAAATACTCCTTCACTCTGTACACTGTATTTGAAGGAGTGGAGAGCAGTGGATACAACTTTACCAGTGCCACCAGTAAGTGTGGGTGTGTTTTACGTGACATTAATGAATTGAAATTAGCAATCTGTGAAGCTTCAACCAAACTTTAAAAATAGTGGTTTTAGGTTTATCAGAGGAAAATATGTTTTCTTAAAATTTGGAGAGTTTTTCTTTATATTTTATCAAAGGCAAAAAGAACATTTTTTTATTTCATTTTGTTTGATAAATTTAATCACAGAATGAAAAGTTATTACATTATCATCCCATTCAGTGTTGTACCTTTGTGAATCTCTAAATCAGAATTTTTATTGTAATTGAAATGCAGACTTTATCATTTATTCAGCCCTCTCTCTCTCTCTCTCTCTCTCTCTCTCTCTTTCAGCTCCATCCAGTGTTGCCAATGTGACTGTAACATATCGCAATGAGACTGCATTGACATTGGAATGGAACAAAGTGAACAACTACAGCGATTACAGTTACAGACTGACAGACCACAATGCAATAAACATCAACATCAGTGGATTAGAGGGAGGTTCTGTAGTGACACACACAGTCTCACCTCTTTTTCCTGGAACTAAATATTCCTTCACTCTGTACACTGTATTTGAAGGAGTGGAGAGCAGTGGTTACAACTTTACCAGTGCCACCAGTAAGTGTGGGTGTGTTTTACGTGACATTAATGAATTGAAATTAGCAATCTGTGAAGCTTCAACCAAACTTTAAAAATAGTGGTTTTAGGTTTGTCAGAAGAAAATATATGTTTTCTTAAAATTTGGAGAGTTTTTCTTTATATTTTATCAAAAGCAAAAAGAACATTTTTTTATTTCATTTTGTTTGATAAATTTAATCACAGAATGAAAAGTTATTACATTATCATCCCATTCAGTGTTGTACCTTTGTGAATCTCTAAATCAGAATTTTTATTGTAATTGAAATGCAGACTTTATCATTTATTCAGCCCTCTCTCTCTCTCTCTCTCTCTCTCTCTCTCTCTCTCTCTCTCTCTCTCTCTCTCTCTCTCTCTTTCAGCTCCATCCAGTGTTGCCAATGTGACTGTAACGTATCGCAATGAGACTGCATTGACATTGGAATGGAACAAAGTGAACAACAACAGCGATTACAGTTACAGACTGACAGACCACAATGCAATAAACATCAACATCAATGGATTAGAGGGAGGTTCTGTAGTGACACACACAGTCTCATCTCTTTTTCCTGGAATTAAATACTCCTTCACTCTGTACACCGTATTTGAAGGAGTGGAGAGCAGTGGACACAACTTTACCAGTGTCACCAGTAAGTGTGGGTGTGTTTTATGTGACATTAATGAATTGAAATTAGCAATCTGTGAAGCTTCAACCAAACTTTAAAAATAGTGGTTTTAGGTTTGTCAGAAGAAAATATATGTCTTCTTAAAATTTGGAGAGTTTTTCTTTATATTTTATCAAAAGCAAAAAGAACATTTTTTTATTTCATTTTGTTTGATAAATTTAATCACAGAATGAAAAGTTATTACATTATCATCCCATTCAGTGTTGTACCTTTGTGAATCTCTAAATCAGAATTTTTATTGTAATTGAAATGCCGACTTTATCATTTATTCAGCCCTCTCTCTCCCTCTCTCTCTCTCTCTCTCTCTCTCTCTCTCTCTCTCTCTTTCAGCTCCATCCAGTGTTGCCAGTGTGACTGTAACGTATCGCAATGAGACTGCATTGACATTGGAATGGAACAAAGTGAACAACAACAGCGATTACAGTTACAGACTGACAGACCACAATGCAATAAACATCAACATCAATGGATTAGAGGGAGGTTCTGTAGTGACACACACAGTCTCATCTCTTTTTCCTGGAATTAAATACTCCTTCACTCTGTACACCGTATTTGAAGGAGTGGAGAGCAGTGGACACAACTTTACCAGTGTCACCAGTAAGTGTGGGTGTGTTTTATGTGACATTAATGAATTGAAATTAGCAATCTGTGAAGCTTCAACCAAACTTTAAAAATAGTGGTTTTAGGTTTATCAGAGGAAAATATATGTTTTCTTAAAATTTGGAGAGTTTTTCTTTATATTTTATCAAAAGCAAAAAGAACATTTTTTTATTTCATTTTGTTTGATAAATTTAATCACAGAATGAAAAGTTATTACATTATTATCCCATTCAGTGTTGTACCTTTGTGAATCTCTAAATCAGAATTTTTATTGTAATTGAAATGCCGACTTTATCATTTATTCAGCCCTCTCTCTCTCTCTCTCTCTCTCTCTCTCTCTCTCTCTCTCTCTCTCTCTCTCTCTCTCTCTGTCTCTGTCTCTCTTTCAGCTCCATCCAGTGTTGCCAATGTGACTGTAACGTATCGCAATGAGACTGCATTGACATTGGAATGGAACAAAGTGAACAACAACAGCGATTACAGTTACAGACTGACAGACCACAATGCAATAAACATCAACATCAGTGGATTAGAGGGAGGTTCTGTAGTGACACACACAGTCTCATCTCTTTTTCCTGGAATTAAATACTCCTTCACTCTGTACACTGTATTTGAAGGAGGGGAGAGCAGTGGATACAACTTTACCAGTGTCACCAGTAAGTGTGGGAGCGTTTTACATGAAATTAATGAAATTGAAAATTACATTGAAATTAACAATCTGTAAAGTTTCAACCAAACTTTAAAATTAGTGGTTTTAGGTTTATTTGGCAAAAAGTTTTCTCAAAATTTGGAGAGTTTTCCTTTTATATTTCATCAAAAGGATGAACAGTTTATAAGTTTAATTTTGTTTAATAAATTTAATCACAGAATACAGGAATGGATGAGAATGGATGAAAAGTTTCATAGAGAAAAGTTTTTGGAGAAAAGTTACACTCCTTCAAATACAATAAACTGTATTTAAAGGAGTGGAGAGCAGTGGATACAACCTCATCAGTGTCACCAGCAATTGTAGTCTCTATTCTAGTGGGCATTGATGAAATCTCTTTAATAGTCTGTTAGTTTTAACATTTTTTTTTAATTTGTCAAGAAAAAAGGAAGTTTGTTCTTTCAATTGTGGATTATTTAAAATATTTTAGAAAAAAAAATGAACAACTTGATTTTACATTTTTACAAATTTAATTAACCTCTGAAAGGATTGATGATATTGGCCTTTATTGACTTATAATTAACAAACCAGAAACAATAACAGAAAATGTAGAGTTCTTTAAAAACAAATTTGCAATATTTATTTACTGAATTCAAGGATTGATGATGAGCTTTTATGTTCTCATAGAGTTCAGTGCTTTACTGCAGTTCACCTGTCAGAATGTTAGAAATTCTATAACAATATAATTTCAACTCTACAAAGAAACTGTTTGTCCATATTATATAATATAAAATACTGTTTCCTTCTGATAAGGAAGATATTTTAATTACCTCATATCAATAGATGAAATGCTTTCAGGTACCACTATAGCATTTATCAGTTATAGCTATAGCAGTTCATCATGAGCCAGTTCATTTTACATTTATACTTTTTCATAGAATTATTGGAGGCTCACAATTCCACATCATGTCTTTTGAATGAAATAGCAAGTCAGTATCTTAATGGAGCAAAGTATATGAACATTGCCATATTATTACAATGACTATGAAGCTTCATTGACGGGACCTGTCATCCCTTTATCAAATTAGGGCATTTTGTAGTGGACACGCTAATTTAATCTTATATAAAGCTGCCAAATATTTGTAAATCCTGCTTGAAGTCTCCGACCCACACAAATCATCACATGCTACAAATGATGGGCAAAAAATTACAAATAAAAATGTTATTGACTTCCATTCCTCACTCTTGGAACTGCTTAACTTACATTTTAGTTTCATAGTTGTTAGTAAATAATTCATTGTTGTTATGGAATGTATAATGAGTCTTGATTTAAATGCCTTTCACACATTTTTTGAAGAACTAATAACAAACATTAAAAATTGGAACCATCCTTAAAAAAAAAAAAAACAACATTTTACTTTGGCTCAAAATTTCATGCATTCAGGATGAGACTGGTTGACTGATTACATTTTTTGCCAACTAAGATTATGTCAGTTTACTAATCACATTGGGCCTCATTCACAAACTGTTCTTAAGAAGAAATTTCGGTAACACTTTCTATGAATGTCACCTTTGTAAGCATCTATAAACACATTTATAACATGTTATAATGTATTCATAAGGCATTATAAACATGGTTATAAATATTTATAAAAAAGAATTACACTGAATTACAATTTATAGCCATGTTTATTATACATTATGAATTGTTAATATAATGCATTATAAATAGTGTTAATAACATGTTATAATGTCAGTGCCAAAGAAGTCAGTCCCAGCTTGGAGAGTGTAAAGTAAAGACAAATACCAAGCTAACGGTGGTGTACATTACCTTTCCCACATTGGGTAAAACACTGATGGCAGCCCTAGTTTAAACTCTGACATTTGAAGCCTGTAATGTGCTTTATTGTGTATGTTTTAGTGTTTCAGTAAATCCTTCAGTAAATACTTCAACTTGAAGCGTCACTCTTAACACTGGAGGTGGCTTTAGTACAATACGCTTCACTTTACTTAGAGCGGACAAATACGACTTTGTTTGAATTTGTTATGATCAGTACTTATAATGTATTATGTTAACAATTCATAATGCATAATAAATATGGCTATAATGTATAATGCATTTTTATAAATATTTATAGCTATGTTTATAATGTCTTATGAATGCATTATAACATGTTATGAATGTGTTTATAGATGCTTACAAAGGTGACATTCATAGAAAGTGTTACTGAAATTTCTTCTTAAAACTCACTTATGCAGTTTTCACAAAGATTCTGAGATTCACCAATGTTTTCTTATTTGGGATTTGATCATAGCAATGAATAGGCAAAAAATTACAAATGCTGTGCTTTTCCTTGGCTGAGCATGATGCTAACTACCTTTGTCTGTCACTCTATTCCCAGTTCCAGCTACTGTAACTGATTTGCACTGTAAATATGCATCTGGAGGCTACGGTCTAGTTCTGGGTTGGGGTCCTCCCATTGGAGAGAGGACGTCTGTGCTGATCAACATGAAAGGCAAAATCTTAACTGAGTCAGGGCAAAGTTTGGCTATAGGGGGACTGCAACCTGCCCAGTGGTACACTCTGACTGTGACAGCAGAATCTGAGGGTATGCAGAGTGTCCCAGTCTCAATCACTTGCCAGACTGATCCAAGAGGTGAGAGAGTTTATATATGTACATGTGGTTAAGTCTGTAAGAATGACAATCAAACTAATTTAAATCAAAATGATTTTTCCAGGAGTCATAGCTGGTGTTCTGGTGTTCCTACTGTTGGCTATCCTCATCCTTTGTATTGGTATCTTCATATGGCGGCGCAAGCCAGAGCTTAGCAGGTGGGTGTTGCCATTGTTTGTGAGAGAATGCTTGAATTCAGTGCTTCACACTCAAGTTACCCTTACAAAACATTGTCTCAGGAAAGGGAGTTTTGCCTGTGTGTTGAATTTCTATGCTGCCTGAGCTCAGCTTACTGAGAACAACAGCATTGGCAGTTAATTCACTTGAGGAGAATGAGGAAACGCACAATCATTTTCTTTCCATTTGGCTTTCCTGTCTTAATGTTTCTGATATACAAAAAAGGTCTAAAAGGTGCTGAGAGTTACACATTGTGTCTATGAGAATTCTGTATCTGTGCTGTCAAAAAAAACAAAAAACAAAAACAAAAACATTTGCACATAGCTATTTGTCCATTTGACCCATAATTGTTGAATTATTGAAATGAGTTTTAGTTTTTGATACAATTAAATTGACGTTTAGAAATTTTAAAGAACATAAAAATTGGACACTATTTTGTTTCATATGTCTATTCCAGTGTCTTTAGAAAGTCAAAGTCATCTGTAGAGACTAAACAATCCAGCGATAAATACAAGTAAGTTTTCTTGTATTTCATTTACTGTACATTTGTAGTTCCGTTTGTGGGTAAAAGATTAGCTTAGTAACTGAAGTAGTTGAACAAATGGAAACTGTTTTTTGTTTTTAGACTAATTCCCCTGAAGAAGTTTCCAGAACATTTTGATTCCATGAGTCGTGATGAGAACCGTGGTTTCAGTGAAGAATATGAGGTACAGTCACACTGTGTGAGTGTGTGTGTGTGGTACAACACCGAGCTACAGGCAAGTGCAAATAAAATCATAAAAAATCATGGAAAGGTTGTCTCTTTGCTTTAGAAGAATTATTTCTGAATCATCACTGCAAACGAATCCATCTTTTGGATATAATATTACTTCTTTCTCTAATGCACTTAAGTCTACTGTCTTGGTAAGATCATTCCTGAGTTTGGAATTTAAAAAAACATATTTCTTTCACTCCAGAAGTTTCTTATTATCATTCTGTTATGCTGATAATGTTTGTTATTTATTGTTGTTGCTTTTGTTGTTTACAGGATTTAAGCACAGTGGGTACAGATCAGAGCCGTATAGCTGCTCTAATCCCTGAAAACAAGAGCAAGAACCGATTTACCAATGTACTGGCCTGTGAGTATTAATCACACACACACACACGCACACACACACTCACAGTCATGACAAGAAATATGTTTTGCTCATTTTTACTGGGTAATTTTTGGTTCTTTGACATTTTTTCCATGTTTGTTTGCTGGGTAAAAAGGTTTTCTCTCCTTTATTATTACCCTGTAGATGATTCTTCTCGTGTAAAGCTCACTGCACAGAATGGTGCCAGCTCTGACTATATCAATGCTAACTACATGCCAGTAAGTCTTTTTTTTCCAAATACACCCAGGATATCATACCTCCCGACATACACTCTTAAAAATGGTTCTTGAAGGATTCTTTAGTAAAGATAATGTTTCTACCATGAACCATGAACACTCAAAGGACTATCTGCATGCTTAAAGGGTTCTTTGCACCATGAATGTGTTCTTGATTGATAGAGAATGTTTTGTAGACTATGTAGTTCTGTATAGATTTTTTTTTAAATGGGTTTTTCTATTGTTACAATGTCAAGCTCGTAACAACAGAAGAACTCTTTTTGGTGCCATGTAGAACCTTTTTCTATAGAAAAAAGTTCTATAGAACTATCTACAGCACAGTCTCCATCAATCTGAAGGACCCTGTCATGATGCAAAGAATCTTTTAATCATGCAAAGCGTTCTTTGAATGTTCACAGTTCTTTATACATTCTCTTTACTACAAAACCCTTGAAGAGCCATCTTTTTCAACCCTTGTGTGGTGTTTGGGTCTGTGGGACCTACTTTTGGTGTTTTCAGAAAAAAATGATGTGATTTTTGATGCTCATTTTCTGTGAAGAACATATAAAATAACACATTTTCAGTGACTTCACACTGTTCACCCCCTACGCATTTATATTACACATGTGGTGTTCAGGTAAACTCGTAGAAAATAAAAGTGTGGAGGTGCTGTGTCCCTTCACTCTGTTTTCCTCCTACATGGCCTGCTGTTAGTGTGTGTGTCTGTGTGTGTGTAAGTGTTTGTATATATGTGTGTGTTCCTGTGACGGTGGACAACAAGGACAGGCTGCCGACTGGCTACAGCTGCTAAAGGAGAACCCTACACTGGCCACTTGTGATATTTTAAACATCTGGTATTTTTATATAAATTGTTATGGCTGTATCAATAAAAAAAAAATAATAAAAATAATGCAGTGGGTCCACCAGACCCACTGAGTAACAAAAACATGAACACCATACAAGGGTTAAGCGTGTATATGTTTCCATGTAGAACCGTTTTGAAAAGGGTTCTATATAGCACCAAAAATGTTTTTTTATTGTTACAAGCTTGTCATCATAACAATAGAAGAATGTTTTTTGGTGTTAACCCTTTTCAAAAAGATTCTATATAGAACCATATACAACACACCTTTAAGCATGCAAATGGTTCTTTGAGTGTTCATGGTTCTATATGGAACCATTGTCTTTGCTAAAACCTTGAAGAACCATCTTTTTTCAGAGTGTAGACCTCTGGGTTTGTACATTAGTTTGTAGTTGCCCAAATAAGACCTTATATCCACTTTTGCTATAATGGGAAAAAAATAATGGAGTTTTCAAAATTGTTGGTAAACAAATTTATGTCCCAAAGCCAACACCTTTTCTCCTATGAACAATTTTTGCTCCTGAATAATATAAACATTGCTACATAACTGCTACAAGCAAGCTAATACTACACATTTAACACTATTCATATGTGAATGTCAAATTAGTTGAAAATAAAGCCACTTCTTCAACAATACAGTAGTTTGGCACTATTGTATAACAACACCATCTACTCAAATTGCCTACAACTACCTCCAAAGCCACTTGCTGACAAAGCTTGCTGGTTTATTGCAAGGGTAGTGTGATGAGATTAACACTCTTGTGATGTGTTAGCTTGCAAGTAGCATATATGTATCAATATTTTTGTTTTTGCTTAATTGGATGACACAGCCCCAGAGATCTATAGCCTATATGGGAGATCTATAGCAATAAAAAGACAGATGCTACAGTTCAAAAATGATTAAAAGATATAGAAAACTTAAAACTTTTATCTTTGAATGATTTAGTTCTACTCTTGTTCCAGATCTGTTCTGGCCATCCTTCCTTATGTGAAGACAACAACTAAAAAATTAATAACTTGTGCTTAATGGGTGTTTTCACTGAAATTTAAATAAAAGAAGCATGGTCTCTGATGTTTGCACTCTACTGTACACCATATAACAAAGTGAAGCAATAATTAATATAAATATATTCATATATGTATTAATATATCAATATCAATAATTAATACACTGATAATTGATTGTTGAGGATTTAATGGTTCAACATGCTGATAAATGACACATTAAGATACTTTTGTCAGTGTTGTTGGGTACATTTTAGTGAATGTTTCATCCTGTGTCGGCTGTGTGTGTGTCTTAGGGCTATGGCAGTTACAGCAAGCAGTACATAGCTGCTCAAGGTCCTCTTGCCTCCACCGTCAGTGACTTCTGGAGAATGGTGTGGGAGCAGAAGTCTCAGGCCATTGTCATGCTGACCAACTGTACAGAGAGTGGAAGGGTGTGTCTGTGAGAATGCAGAGCAAAAGTGCAGTGTTAACTGATTGCCAGTTATACACGCTCCTGTAGTTACCCTGGTGTTCAGTTAATTTAACAGCGCACACTAAGTGACTCTAGTTGGCTATGGATACCAATTACATTGTATTTTTACATATTAATTTTGACTATCACAGAAGTAATGATGAGACCTTTTCTGACTTTCTCTGGTGTCTCATTCATCTCTCTCTGCAGGTTAAGTGTGAACAGTATTGGCCACTGGACTACACTCCTTGTGCCTATGGAAACCTGCTGGTCACTATCCAATCAGAGCAGAAAGAAAAAAGTTGGACGCTGCGAGAATTTGTTGTTAGAGATGTGAGCTTAATGTCCAAACTCAGTATGAAGCTAAATCTGCCATATTGTATGGAAATGTGTAGAAATGTTTTAAGAAAAATAAATAACAATAGAAATTTCAGCAACTTATTCTCAACAGAAGATTTTTTTGTTTAAAATATAAAATTTAATGTGGGAAAGTTCAACAAACTTCTCTCTTTGTATGTTCGTCTGTGTGTAGAAGGCCACCTCTGAGGAGCGGATAGTGAAACACTTCCATTTCACAGCGTGGCCCGATCATGGAGTTCCCAGGGGGACAGATGAGTTGATCCAGTTCCGTGGGATTGTCCGCCAGCAAATAGAGAGCTCCCCGTTTACAGGACCTACAGTAGTACACTGCAGGTAATGACATCACAAGCAGGTACACTACAGCTTTAACAGCAGAAGCACACTGTAGCCAATTTAACAACCCATTAACACTATTTACATATACCTCGCCAAATGTTATTGATCCTCTCTAAAAAGACCAAATAATCAGAAATCCCAGAATGTTATAAACCACTGTAAAATACCCAAATATAATGTAGAACAATATGATTACATTTGTGGGTGATGTGTGTGTCTGCAGTGCTGGAGTGGGCAGGACAGGCACTCTTATTGCTCTGGATATATTATTGCAGCAACTGGTTAAAGAGGAAGCAGTGAGCATCGCTGCCTGTGTACATCGCATGAGGCTCAGCCGGCCACTCATGGTGCAGACTGAGGTACAGTCTATTATCAGTGCCGAGCAATGAGCAGCAGTCATATGAGTTTGAGAAAAGAATACTGGCATAATATTGTTGAAGGAAGATACAGATGGGTGACAAAGCAAAAACCAACTTAAAATTTCTTAGTAAGATTTTGGGCCACAATGAGCCACCAAAATGCACCTTGGCAATCTGCAAGTCTATAGAACTGTGCTGCAGCGATAGAACACCATTCTTCAAAAAGATATTCCTTTAATTGTCTAACACGTTGGTCCAAAATCTTCTATAGATGTTCAACTGGGTTGAGGTCTGGTGAGTGCAAAAGCCATAGCCTATGATTTACATAATTTTCGAACTCATCAAACCTTTCAGTGCCCCTTTGTGCCCTGTGGCAGAGAAACTGCAATCCTGGAAGAGACCACTCCCATCATACCATATCACTGTTCTACACATCTCTGTAGACCAGTGCATATAGTTTTCGCATTACTGAACATTTAAATGCATTTGTCTTGGTAATCAGAAGTTTATGCACTGCAACCCTATTAAAATATCCCTCTGTAGCTGTAGATGAACTGTTCTTGCTAACACAATCTGATCGCATCCTGCACTGACCTTCTGAGTCACCTGACAAACAGTTGTTCTTCTGTTTGTCCTTAGGTATTGCACTAATGTATGAGCATCACAATAATTGAATGTGTGCTGTTGACCAGCCCTGCTTGCTGATGTCTTTCCTGCAGATCTAGATGCAAATGTCACTTTAGTCACTGTTCCAGTTGAAACACTAGCCAGTTGGGCAGTCTTTATAACTGAAGCTCCTGCCATCTGTGCCTCAATAATTAACCTTCTTTCAGTCACTTTTACCATCTTCATTTAAAATCAAGGTCAACTGGGCCTGTTCAGCATTTTATACATGCCACAGACATACTTAATATTTAATTGTATCATGCAGTACATCTCTCTGCATCTGCACTTGGTATATTTCTCCACCCATTTATTAAGGTTTTTCCTTTAACTTATCACCTGTCTATTTGTTGTGAATATACTTTGAGTAAAGTCGTGTAAAGTACAGCACATATTTCAGTGTGTCTCAGCTCCAGTCCTGGGCATCCCATGCCCTGTGCATTTTTTAAAAGGAGCTACTGCTACTATATAGCAACATCACATACAAGGAAACTCAGCTTCCTGTGGAAAAAAATGACAACTTTAAATGAGCAATACTTGGCATGTTTGACCTTACAACAGTACAAACAAAACTTGTAGTTAAGTATTAGATGATCCTCATGGTGCAGCAGAATTTGCATTCATCTGTTAGCTTCTCTTACACTGCTCTCCATCTTTTTCTTCCTTAGTCTCAGTATGTGTTCCTGCACCAGTGCATCATGGATTCTCTGCAGCCCAAAGAAGACTATATCCAGGAGTCTATATACGAAAATTCTGATATGGTCTATGCTAATGCTATGGCCCTACAACAGTACAGGGCAGTTAACCCAGTCTGAAAAAACACACACATGCACACGCACAATATGTGGACTGCCAAAGCGTAGTACAACGAAAAGACTTCTGGGACATCACAGCACAAAACATATTTTTAGTGCACATGGAAACAATCATTAATACTTCCATCAGAATCATTGTAGGCCTACTGCAAGCAATGGTGTCTTGATTTCCTGCACCCTTTTGTGGCAGAAGTCTTATAGCGCTGCAAAGATCTAGTGACCCCAATCAGTTCATTCTGTTTCTATTGGATCGTTAAACTTCACCAGCAAGAACTGTAATTATTACGCTAATGTTGTTTGTTCTAGATAAATATAACTTTGGCCTATTTTGATGGGTTTATTGAAAATCTTCAAAAGAAAGCTCCAAGCCAGAACCATCGCAACTAGCATGCCAGTTTTATTAACATGGCAAAAAAGCCCTCTTTTGAAGAATACCATACTTCCAAATTCCATTCTGAACATTCTATTGTACATTGTTTTCACCCAGAAATTGGCAATCAAGTAATTTCTTAATACATTCTCCATGTATCAAGTCTTTTACATGTGGCCTCTCATTACTGGACCACATGTACTTTTTATTTTCTCTTAAAAAGTAAGCCAGTTTTTCAGGCACTATTTATTTTATTTAATGGATAATTTCAAATTACAAGCACAATTAATTCCAAGTCTAGGCAGAATGTAAATATATATATTAAAAAAAATCATTTTATAGTTTGCTGCCATAATCAGCTGGTTGAAAAGCTCTAATGTTTCCCACAGACATTACAGAAGGATCACAATGAGAAAAGTTTAACTTTGAAATAATTAAGAAAATTAGATCATTATATTATAATTTTTTAGCTAGTTGTTTAGCTACAACAGATTAGATACATATTACATACACAGGGTGAAACAGATCAACTATGTTTTTACATAGTAGTGAAGCATGTACCTAAGGAGTTTCTTTACATTGTAAGTAATGAATTAAATATCTGGGCCTACTTAGAATGTTTTGCAAAAAAAAGGATGCAAAAAGGCAAAATATTGTGAAATCTGTTGCCAATAACCAAACCCTGCAGACAGAGAAAGTTGCACTGCCTTACTTTTGTTCTTGTGTTAAATCTACTGTTTACCATGCATGATTACACACCTATAAAGCTTAGCTTCAACAGTTTGTCAAAAAAAGTGTTTATAAAGAAAATATTAATTTATTAGTAATGTATTTTATTTAAACAATAAAAATGTATTTTCTTCTGTACTGACATCGTCGTTTCCATATGTCTGAGGATAAAGCACAAACCTAAATCTGACTCAGGAAGGTCTGTTAGTATATGAGCAGTGATCTGGAACACACACACACACACTTGTAGTTTACATTAAAGAAGGTCCAGCAAGACAAAGAAATTATGAAGTACCACAATCCAAATGATTGTAGGGTACAAAAAACATTGCTTGGTAAAATTATGCTGTTTGGTTGCACATATCTCATTAATCTGGGACTTTCTGCATTGTTGCAACCTGTTAACTTGGTTTGTTAAACCTGATTCTGTCTGATGCAAATGTACACTCTCTTCCTGCAGCTGTAGAATAGTCAGCAAAAGTCCTGTGTCAGCTGTGAGCCCCATTTTGTTTGTGCTTGTCCTTAATGTTCTTCTCCTGCTCCTCTTCTTCCCCAGCATTACCAAAACACATTTCTATCATGTCTTCCCTTGTCACTTCCATGTATCGAAAAGGGTTCTCTTCTCCCTCTTTCCCCACTTCTTGAGCTGGGTGTACAGGCTCCAGAACTGGCTCTTGGGGTAACGGCACAGAGAACTTTTTAGAGATGTTGTGAAGCACACAGCAAGCTATGAGGATGCGTGCAACAGGCTCCAAGGCATTGGCCTGCACAACTCCAAGGTCATGAAGGCACTGAAAACGGGTTTTCAGAGAGCCAAAGACGTGCTGGGTTGAAGCCAGGACCTGAGAATGAGCAGTGTTGAAACGCCTGGTTGCACTGGACTTGATTTGAGAGCGCTCCACAGGGGTTAACACATGCCTACCTGGGGGCAGACCTCTACCACCTGTGGGGGTGCAGTTTAGGGAAGGGCCAGAGAGAGGGAGGGAGAGAGAGAAAGGTACTTGTTATGGATATTTCACACATTTGGGCATATGATTTTATTTCTGGGTACTGACTAGCTTGAAAACTGTGTATACAAACTGTGATGCCTGGTCTACTTACCGACAACCCATGTCTGACCATGCTGAAAACTGCTAAACTCCTGGCAAATGTTCGACCTTTCCCAAATAGCCTGCTCCAGAGCACCTCCAGGACAACACTTCTCAACACTCAGTAGATTTCCATCCGCATCACTGATCATCTGCACCATTACTGAATGGTAACCGAGGGTGTTGAGAAAAAGACTTTCTTCAGCGGGAGGAGGGGTCACTTTTATATGTAAACAACCCAACACCCCCACCACGTTTGGAATACCGCTCATGTTTTTAAATCCCTGCGCAACGCCCATACGGTCGTTGTAGCCGCCGGGAAACGTGATGAAGCTCGGGGCCATGTCCGCCAAAACTTTAGATATGATATTTACCGCCTCGCTTGCGGATGTGTGCTCTAATCCTAACATATCTGTAATTTTGCTGGGTAAAAAACCGTGCGCGTAGAAGTAAAGTGCCGCTAATGTCATGGCTTCAATCGAGGCAGCATCGTTAACGGGTCTAAATACGTCTTTCTTCAAACGAGATTTAACATAGTCCAGAAGAAAAGTCAGACATTGGCGACTGAGATGAAAACACTGCGACAGAAAGTAATCATCGAAACTGTTCAGGCAACCTCTTGATTCCTCACTGATGCCGTCTGAGTTGCTGCTGTCGTTAGAGCTTTTACGAGCTGGTCCTCTGCTGATACCTCTGTATAGGTTCTCCTGAACAGCAAGCCACACTGCTCCAGCAAAAGACATACTGACACTGACAGTGAGGTAAGGACTGTTTACAGAGCTACCAGCAGGATCCCTCAATGTGCAAAACGTCCAAAACTCTTGCTATTCGACAGACTTTTAGTTTCTCTAAATTATGTTGAAATAACTTTGAGCCTATTTCCCCCCATTTTTGGTTAGCTAACACTGCATCTGACATCACATACTGTTCAGAAGCCCATGTTTCAGCCAGTAAGTTCGTCCAGAAACGCGTGAACGTTCCGAGAGTTTACTTCCGGATACGAACGTTCTTTTCAGATTAAAAGTCCTTGACTATGTCAGAATGCTGTAACATTGCTGTCTAGTGTTTCTGCCGTGTTCCAGCTGTAGACACCAAGGGAGCAGGAGGCTGCTATCCGTATTAAGACAGAGCCAGCTGGCTGAGGCGTGATAGGGGCCAGGCTGCAAAGGAATAGCGGTTCGGGTTGTAACTTAATTTCAGAGTATTTTGATATGGCACGTTAGCTTGAGTAGCCTAGTCTACCTCTTGAAATATTACATTGTTTATATCACTTTACTACTTCTATTGAAGATCGTTTTTACGATGACACTTTTGAAACGTATAACTTTCAGTTTTATTATTACTGGATATATTGCCCCTTACGAAGAGCGACGTTTTCGGAAAGTGAAAGTTGATCGGAACAAAATGGGAATCGTCGTAGCTGCTGTATAATATAATCTCTAGTTTACTGAAGAAGACAAGTTTATCTCCATGCTGAATTCTGTTGGCTCTTTTTTAATTTCACATTCTCAAGAATGAAATAGATGCCGTTTATAGGGGATCCAGCTGGCCTTAGGCTATTTTATCTGGTTCAGGCTGTTGTAGTATAAAGCCATTCCGTTAATAACACCACCTATAAGAAATGGCCGAGTTCGGGGATCATGGTAAGATTTCCAGAATACACACGGAGTAATAGCATTCAGTCTGAAGCACCACTTACAGTTTGAATGCTGTTTGTTCCTCTTCTGTGATAGGTCTGCTAGTTTCAGGTGGTTTCAGATATTTCTTTGGCTTAGAATAGTCTATCAAATGTGTATTAAGTATGAAAACCTATATTATGGATATGACCAATCATATTATGGATATGACCACTTGTTTTAGCATTGAGAGCTATCTGCGTGTTGTTATTCTGTATATGATTTAGTTCTATACCAATGTACCCATAAATTATAGTGTTTTAAGACTTCTAAAATGTGCTTAAATTTAATGTTCTTTGGATGTTACAATAAGGAAACATTATAGATCAGTGTCACAATCATATTGAGGCTTTCCTGCTTGAGCCATTTTTCTTCACAGATGAAATTAAGACAGTCTTTACCAAACCTGGTCAGGACGCCTTCTTGCCAAGCCACTTCTCTCCTGGAGCCGGTACTCCTGTTGTGGAGATCAGGTGGTTCAGGAGCACAGACTGTATTTTCCTGTATAAGAATGAGAAGGGCAGAGAGGGAAGGGACCATGAGGGCAGGTTAAGTTTGTTCACACAGGGGCCACAGAAGGGAAATGCATCTTTGATACTGAAAGACAGCAGAGAGTCTGATGAAGGACTCTACAGATGTCAAGTCCTTCATGGAGAAAACAAAGAGGAATCCACAGTGGTTTTATACATATGTAAGCATCCTTGTTGCAATCTAAAGAACACCTTACAACAATGTAAATATCAGTGAAATAATATTATACTCTTACATCGGTGTCATCTGTTCCAGTCTTGGAGGTTTGGAGTCCAGCACAATTTGGTGATTTCCTTCCCAATTAATTACTAGTGTGCAGTTGGTGTATTAGAACAAAATCACCAAATGGTGTTTGACTCTGCTCGTCCTGAGGACCATAACTGATGACCCCTATTCTTATAGCTGAGAGAAAAATTTGTGAATCCATTACAATTCTCTGGATTTCTGCTTTAAGGGTCTTCTTGCATGTCAGAATACTAAATAAAGATGTTTTTATTTCACAAATGACACACAACGTTTTAGAGTGCCATAATTTTATTGAATAAATGAAAAAAAAAATCTCTGATCACTGATGGAAGAAGTACGTAAATCTAGATGTAAACACTTTCTGTACCTGGTGTCCAGTCTTGCACAGTGGTATGGAGGTACTTTGGTTCATTTAGTTACTGAAAACTGTTTCATTTAAGGTGTATTTTTGGATGTCATGCTTGAATGCCCAGTTTTAATCCATGCCACTGCTACATTATAGTTTTTTGTCACTTGCTTGAGGATTCTACAGCAAGCTCTTTCCACTGACCTTTGTAAGATGCCCACTCCTAGGGTGAACAGTAACAGTACTGACTATCTTCCTGTCTAAGGACAGATGGAGACTCAAGTGTTTATTAAATGAATATGAAGTAATCATTTATGTTATGGGTTTCAGTATTTTTAATTTTTTTTATTTGGCAGTATTTCACTTCAGTAGTGTCTTGTTGTGAAGAGTAAGTAACCACATTTTTAATTGGCAGTATAGGTCAAACCTATTCCTGAACTGACTGGAGGATGTTGTGTGTTGTTTGTTAAATTAGGCTGACTTTATATTTATTATGACATTATTTAGATTATTTAGCTAGATTATTATATTATAAGTGTCAGAAAAGTCAGAATTCTCTGGTAATAAAACATTAATGAAAAACAGGCAAACAAAACAATAGGCACTGAAAAAGAATCTTGCTATTCTTATTTTTTCAGGTGATCAAGAAGAGGCAGAAGTAGATTTATGTGAGTACATAATGTGGTGAAGTGTTTAAGGTAGTATACAGACTCATTTACCTTATTTTTTAAGATTTATGTCTGGATTTTCAGGGCACCACCGTTTAAGACATGCACTTTCAGACGATGACCGAATGTATATGGAGGCATCTGTACATGCACTGGGTGAGTGCTGATCCTATGCTATATTGTTGAGATGCTGTCTTTGTCTCTCTTGCATTCATTCTTCATTCATTCTGCCAAAATGGTTCAGAGTCAGAGTTCAGAAACCATTTCGGGCTTTTAACTAACTCGGACTTTAGACTAAAATCTTTTTGCTTTGAAAGACCCTGTACTTAAATTTTGTTTATTTTATTAGACCAAATGATTGAATGTTCCATTTTTTCACTACCAAAACAGTCATAACACTAACAAAACTTCACCAAACGTTTCAATAGTGACTGCTTCAGTAGGGACAGTTTCATTTTCCGCATAATTTAAAAACGCTAGGTAGTACATGACTAGCGAACACAGCTTGTACACAGTTGTACACACATCAAATATTAATATTTTAATTAAAACAAAAAAGAGTTCACTTAATTGCAGAAAATGTGTGTTTCAGTAATGACAGTTCTTAAGGTTATACACTGATTTTGAGTCTAAAATTGGGACAAATTTACTTTAAAACAATGAGATCTAACTGCTCACCATGTGGACATAAGGGACAGGGATGCAGTCTCACTTTACATTTTGTTGTAATTTTTTCCCAGCAGAGTTGGAACCACAGAAAGAGAAAGAGGCATCACTGAAAGAGGTAGAACAGCCATTAAAAGAAGACAAAAGAGAAGATTTGGAAGTACGTGAACAGCTCCTTATAATTAGAGAAAAGCACCTCGAAGAAAGGGAGAAAAAAGTTGAACTGAGAGAAATTAATGTGGAAAAGCGAGAAAACAATGTTTACATTAGGGAAGTCAATGTAGAAAAGAGAGAGAACAACGCAACCATCCGTGAAAATAATGCAACTACACGTGAAAATAATGCTTTTGAGAGAGAAGTCAATGTAGGAAAGAAAGAGGCTAAGGTTGCAGAGATAGAAACACAATTAGACAAAAAAGCTAAGCAGCTCAATCAAAGAGAAAAAAACCTGTTGGAGAAAGAAGAGGAGGCTTCGTCAGGTGAGTTGGCATGTAATGTTTTATTTTTCTTACTACTTACATCAGACGTGGTGCAAGGAAACATACCTTTAACCAGGTAAATAAACCTTGTTTTTAGCAGCAACCCAACCTACAGTGCCTATTCAGAGAAGAGCCAGTATGGACCATCCTCTGAGCAGTAAGCCTTTGTTAATTTACTTCAGTAAGGAATGGAAATCAAATTTAGTCAGCATTTGCTTATTTACAATTTCCAAATCAGTATCTAAAGTGTTTCTCTGAGTTTGGTTGTTATGTCACTCTAAGGGACTGTTATTGTTTACAGTGGAAAGAGGGAGTCAGACAGATTTGCCTGAAGCTGACTAAAAAGGAGTGGAAAACCATATAAAGGTGACTGAAGGAAATAGTCTCACATTGGGTGGACTAGCTGTATGGATTTTAACAATCCTAACATAATGTGAAATAGACTCTTGTTTCTGGAGATGCTACATGTTTAGGAGACCGTAAAAATTTAGTTCTTCCATTTTAGTGCCATACATTTTTACACTGGACAGTCTGCATAAAAATCTTTTATGTCTAAGCCATGGATAACAATATTTATGATCTCACAGTGTTTTACCATTGTCAGTATTTACATTTCTGTGTTTTAAATGTAGCATGTTTTTTTTCTAGTTATATGTAGTTTATTTATCAGTTTTGTTTGTCACCTAAAACATTGAGTTACAAGGTGAACCGTGTTTAGAAGCAAATGGTTTGTCTATGGGTTTGTGACAATAAAGTAATCATGCTTCACAGTTTGGGCTGTCATCTCTTATGCTACAAAATAAAGACAGTCTGATATGCTGCGAACTTTGCATGTTTATTCTATACAGTAGCAATTTTATACAGCTAAATGTAACTTGGTAATTTGGTTTACAATTTGTCATGCAAAATTAGTATTCATATCAGCCTATCTGCAGCACTAGGTTGCAACACTGACTTCACAGAAAGTGACAACAAAACCTATAAAATTGTATGCCTACGCTAATAATGACAGTAAAAGCTGTCTTTTCACCTGTAAAGATGAGCTTTTATGAGCTAGTATACCACATGGTACAATGAACACATTAGCTTTATAATGTGGTGCACTGCCAAAGCAACAAGCATGTTAAGCATTCATGTTGTATATTTTTTGATGCATAATATGTTATTCCACTTAAAAAAACAAACAAAAAACACCAACTGATGTTTAAAAAGTCATTTTTTTCAGGTGGGTTTTAGTCCACAATGTAGCCAGCTTATTAAATGCTGTTAAATGTTAAAAGCTCCAGTGATAGGCTGTTAAGTTACTGGAGTTGTTTCAACAGAGAACAGGAAACATCTGTCAGTTCTTTTATGTTGCAACAGTAGGCTAATGAATAGGTGGATATAGACAGCGCCATTCTGTTTTTTTCCAGGGTAACAGTGAACGGAGAAACAAACTGAAGAGGAAAGTATTGGACATACTGTTCGAAACAATCAACGTACGCTATTAGTAGGGAAAGAAATGAGCTAGTAGGTTTTGCACACATAGGGAAGTTTAAGCATGGCGCTATTAAGCTGAAGTTGAGCTACATTTCGATACATAACTGAAACAGCCAGTAAGACATTTTTAACCTATTTTACAGTTACCGATTTATTGTATAAATTAATCCCAACATGTAGGACCACTACTAAAATTCATAGTTTGTCTATAATTTAGTAAATGGGGCCATTGTATGGAATGCTAACAAATGATAACCACTTAGGTGGAAGAAAAAATATCACTAGTCAAATACATATCTTGGATTGCTAAAGATCGTCCGAAACAAAGCTGTCCATAGGAGACGGGCGAATTGTGTGACTTTGGCATGCTTGAACAGTCGGGTTACGCAAGCGTTGCAACAATGGCAGCTCAGAGCAATATAGAGAGAGAGTTGCGTCAACTCCGTTCACTCCAATGGACCATTTTTTTACAGCAATGGCGGATCGTGGAGCCTCTCAATAGTTCCCAGAAGTTAGCAGCAAATACTAGCAGCACGGCCGAGTTGCAGCAGAATAGACCGGTTGTGATGCACTTTTAAAGGGTAAATAAGCACATCTGAATTAAATTAACATGTATATTAAAGTATGTCAGTGGATTATGCCCAACTAAATTAGTAGATTTAAGAAACATTAACAGATAACAGATTAGGCTAGGGTACTGAGTAAAGTTAGGAACCCATAATGTTAACCATAAACAGCCTAGTAATTGTAAAATCCCTGCTCTTGATGTCATTTCATCCACCTTTGTTGAATTTCAGAAAAGGCTTCTAAACGTGATGTTTCACGGGGTGGGTGGGAGTTAAATATTAGTTAAATACAACACTGGGGCACGAGCTTGTAGAGTGGAGGAGGTGGAGGAGATAAAATGAGAATGTTGTTATCCATTTTGGAGTACGAGCTAACATAGGTTACACAATAAAAAGAAAGCTATTTTCGTGATGCGTCACTATTGATGTGGATTTAGAGCACATATTGGAGACTTTAAAGAGTAAACAAATATAAGACTTATGGATTGAGTGTTTGTAGTCTTTGTGATTCTGTTGACTGTTATCTGTACATTATGTTGCAGTTTAGATGATTTTGGATTAATGGCAAGAACCACGGGGGGATTCAACTCAGCCTAGAAACTCCCTACAATAAGACAGCACCCCCCCTGCACCCTGAGTCTCAATTCCCTGGGTTTTGCAATTCTTTACCTGTTCCTTATTTTTAATAAATAAAACATTAAGCTTCCCAGTGGTGTGGCTTTTGATTGTGAAATGTATGCAATGTCACGTTGTTGTTGTAATCTATTGTGATGGTAAGTAATTTAGTAATTGCTCCTGCTGACTTGAGCCAGCAGTTTTTTCTTCTCTCTGTGTCAGTGGAGAAACCAAACATTTTCACTCCTTTCTCTCAGCGATTGAAGCAAGAAAAGGGCACAGACAAACTGCCTGCCAGTTTGAGTTTGAGTTCGTTATAGCTTTATTTAATGAATCCATTGCAGTAAATATGTGCATAGTAAAAAGACAAGATATATAACATATGTTAATATGTGTACAAACAAATATAAATAAATGTGTTTATTATGTCCTGTCCTGTCTGGATGTGATGTATTTTAATGTACGCTTTTTAATACAGATTTTTTCATATGCAAGCCAAACAAATTTCTTTGGCTCCTTCTCCTTCTGTCCTCATAGAGTTTACAGTAGTCATCAAGTCATTAAAATGATCTAGGCCTTGGGATTACTGAAACAACCATTAATTAAAGATGTATTTATGTTAATTATGTTTATGTTGAAAATTAATCTGTTCTCAATTTTGAAACATTACTTCCCTTCCCCTCCCTCTAAGTATATCAATAAACATTAGGATATGACTGATCTTAACTACCATACAAGTTTAAGAACATAATATCTATAATACTGAAAAGTCAAAGCTATGAAACAACAAAAACACACTTTGAAACCATGTTCACATTAACCTAACATGTCAAAAAGGCAAGTAACGATAGCTGTTTAATCCTCAAATAGTAGCGAATTTGACTTTAAAATATATCATATTGTTGTAACTACACACACACGTTGGTTTTCTATATAAATACTGTAAATCAGTGCATTTATTGACTTTAAAGTACTAAAAGACGCAGTTCTGTCGCTCGGTGTTTATGGGTTTAAATTGCCCGCAAAGAACGTCCTGGAACTATCTGAAGTCTACGTGCATCACAAGACCATCAAGCATTTTGAACTTCCGTTGACGCTATTCTCTCTCTATACGGCTCTGTGGCAGCTGAGCTAAGGCCTTTCTTGGCGTCCTTCTAGCGTATTCTATTAAAAAATAAAAGTTTAAAACTTTTACAGCATATTTGTAGAGTACCTACGGTGTGCCTGGCTTCTTTTTTAATTCGGCAGAGTTTATGTACGTGTGTCTGCTGATTGAGTAACATTGAGTAACAGCTCTGACACATCCATCGAACGAGAGAAAGAGTACATCAGCTCGTTGCACACCGTTTCGACGAAACGTCTTTCAACCCGGAAACCTACGGAACCCCGCTGGTGACATCCTGTATAAATAAAAATAAGTCGTGGCCACGCCCACGTTTTTCTAAGTCGTGGCCACGACTTAATCATCTCATTCCCACGCCTCACTAAGTCGTGGCTATGCATTATTTTTATTTATACAGGATGTCACCAGCGGGGCTCCGTAGAAACCATAGCAAAACGGTGCACATTGTTTTGAGGTTGAATGTGCCCCTGGTATGCTAATTTAGTTAAATGCAGGTGTAATATATACAGCTTTTGCAACTAATTGTCTCTTGAATGCCCGTGTTTAACCTCCATTACTATAGAAATCACAAATATTTCTCGTTTTATGTGTACAAGAAAACAATTATATTGATTATGATAAAAGTGGTATTGGCTGTGCTAGTGGCCCGAGAGCTTTTATTTTGAATGTACGAACACGAGTCTTTGCACAGATTTGAAGTTGCTAAAGGAAGTTCGAATTATTATAATATGCAGTTTAATCGTAGTGTTTTTGGTGTTTTTTTTAAGCAAACAACTCTCTCTTTCGTGTTTCAACCATATCGTCTCCTGGGTGCTGTAGCAAATGACTCTATCGGCTTGCTGAACTATTGTGAACGGGAATTCCACGTTTATAATCAGGAACAAAATTGCACGGTGGAGATTTAACGACGCTGGAAAGCTGTTTTGTAGCTGTGGTTCTGTTTCTAACGAAGGACCAGCAACAGGAATATGTTGCAAAAATTATCTTTGTCACCAGGGGGCAGCACGTGCCTTTTTAAACTGACTGCAGTACACAAGAACGTTTTAAAGCAGAGGCCGTCTATTCTGGTCCTGTATGGCTCCTGTTTTAAAACATTTTAAACTTTAATTATAAAATATAAGTATAAAATATAAAAGTTTTATAACAGTATTTTAAATGAAACTGAAGTATTTCATTAAGTGTATAAACAGCATTCTTAAGTTATACAGGTCACACAGTCTCCTTATTTTTAGTTTTATTAGATAATCTATCAGCATAGACTAATTGTTGCTGAAAACAAAATTTTAAGTTGGAAAGTACTGATTCAGATATATGCAATAACATTGAAAATTGGGTGTTGGGGTGCACCATCCCAAACTGAACACCTAGACATGCAGAATCATGCTGAATTGGGCTTTTTAGTTTAGGGGAGCAGCATCCGATCAAATAATCCTGTACACTGCCTCTCATGAAAGGAAACTGAAACTGCAGAGCATAAAGATGGCTGCATCCAAAACAACACCCTGCTATACCACACTATGCAAATGAATGCACTATTTATGGTGGTGTAATACTATATACTATATTGTCAGGCAGTATGCTTTTTTGGACGCAGTCCCAGTCCTTTTCTATTGTGTGCTGAACCTCCTGAATCAGGTGAATGCAAAAAGAGCCAAAAGTTGTTTAATCTTATCCCCAAAGGCCTGTGTGGCTGCAGGTTTTCACTCTAACAAAGCAGGAGATCACCTGATGAAATATATGAAGACTAAGACTGAGAACTGATTAAACAATTAAAGTCAGATGTGCTCCAGCTTGTTTGGAGTGAAAACCTGCAGCCACACTGGCCTATTGTGGATAAGATTGGACACCCCTGTCCTAGGGCATTCAAAATATATTTGTGTCGCTAGTACACTTTAAGTTTGAATTAATCTTCATGAACTGCTTGTTATTTAATGTATTATGTGTAGTGTATTAAAGCTGTAATTTATTTTTAATGTTTATGTTCTAT